CGATGCCAAAGGTAAGTCGAAGCCAGGAAATCCAAACAGCAAAGTAATAACAGCAAAGGACACGGACTGCCAATCGAGGGAGGAGATCAATAGGCCCAGAAGCCTGACTGAAAGACAGTCCCTGGAACACCAGCCTCTGTCTCCAGCTAACACGGTCTCCCCCTGATCTCCCCCTGATCTCCCTCTGAGGGAGGAGCTCACAGAACTTTTATTTGAATTTAGTGGCCAATCAGAACACTCAGAGGGAAGAAATTTCTAGTCAGATTACCTCATGCTTTTGCTTTTGCTGTTGCTGAGCATGCATCTGTGGGGAAAGTAGGTCAGACATGACTGACAGGTCCGCAGGTCACCCAGGGGGCACGAGCTGGGTGAGCCTTGGAACTTTCCACTCACAGATTTCAACTGCGCATGTCAGGTACAGAACTTTTGTGTTGGCAGCATATACTTAGGATGTTTCTGAGACAGTATCCATGGTGGATATTGCTGATCCCCTTGTTCTCTTATGGGTGCTTAGAAATAGATTCTTTGATGATCTGCCCAGTTTTTCCAGGTATTGCCATCTTACTGACTGACTAGTCTTTAATTCTGGATTTTCCTTGTTCCTTTACATAAAGATGGGCACTATACTTGCCCTTTTTTAGATATCTGGGACCTCACCTCACAAGTATTCAAAGATGGTACCCAATGGCTCTCAAATTATCTCAGCCAATTCCTTCAGTACTCTAGGGTGCAACTTATCTGGCCTTGATGACTTCACAACACCCAGCTTCTCTAAGTAATCCCTGACCTGTACCTTCACTCCTACAGGCTACTTATCTCTTCCCCTATCTGTGTTGCCAACATCATCATTTGATATCTGACCTTATTGTGAAGACAGAAGTAAAAAAAGGCAATACCTCAGTCTTCTCTGGATTATGTTACTAGTTAGCTTGCTGTTGCTCCTTAAAGCACAATCAGCTCTCCTGGACTTCATTTCCCCTTAGACTTGTCTCCAAGGGGATCCTGCTCATCAGTCTGCTTGTTAAAGTCTGCTTTTCTGAAGTCCAGTGTCTTTATTCTGCTCCTCTCCTTTTTATCTTTCCTTAGTATCTTAGATACATGCAATCATTTCATGGTCACTGTCACCCCACTTCTACCTTCACATTCTCAGCCAATTCTTCCCTGTGAAGAATCTGGGAGCAGCAAATTGAGAACACCCTGCCCCCTCAGTTGGGTTTTCCACCATCTGTACCAAAAGCTACCTTTGACAATCCAAAAGTTACCTTTGACAATTCAAGTCCCAGATCTGTAGCAGTCTGACTAAGGTGTAAATTTAAACCAAAAGCAAGAGCAAATGCTTGCGTGAATATTCATTTCAGTTTGTACATGGTTTATTTTAGTTTATCTTAATTCAATTAGGAATAGAGGTAGGATGCATGAAAATAAACCACTTGAAACCAAAGATTTTTAAAGATATTTAAGAATTGTTCTTCTTAATGCCAACCTCCAGGCAACCAACAGCTAGTGGAATTCACAGCCTGAGTCTTGTAAGAAGGCTTCCTCTATAGTTCATGAGACAAGTCAAGCACTTTAAGTGATTTTCAGAATCTAGTCTTCTGAGCAGAGAGCTGCCTATATTAGCCAGAAGATGAGACCAGTGCCATCCTTGAGGCAAGGAGACACATGGAATGCAACACTGCCCAACAAAAGCAGTGGCCCCACTCAAACACCTGTTTTAAGTAGCTATATTGTTGAGAGTGCAATGATGTCTAGTGAAATGCAGAACAATGATAGAAAAGTCAATTCATATCCATTTTGAAACCCCCTTGCAAATCCCCCATTTGAAAATCCCATGCCCCCCTGCTCCCTGGTGTCCCCCCAAGCATTTGTACCACAACAGGATGTCTAGTAACTGCAGGAAAAAGAGCTAGCTGTGGATACATGGGCATCACAGAGACCTGTCTACTGAATAACCCACCAAAAGGCACGGGCTAGATGTGGTTTTATAGATGGAGCTGCAAGGGAGGGTAGAGAATCTGCGTGGAGTTAAGGATAGTAGGAAGAAGGAGGAGAAGAGCTGAAGTTCTGCACACAGCCAGCACAATGCCGTATCCTTCCTCAGTAAACTTCCAGAAATGGAAAATTTTCCAAGAAGTTACACTAAACCTTATTTATATCGGGAATGTCCTAAAGCTGATCATTCTCCTTGGGTTCAGGCCCTAGAGTCATTGAAATACCTAGTGGAACCTACGCTCTGCCAGTAATGAAAAGAGCCATATCCTATGCTGGGGTAGTGTTGTTCTTTGACCTGACATTAAGCGAGAAATGTACAGTGCTGGAAAAATATAACAAGCACAGAAAACAGCAACAATAAATAGCTCCCTGCAATGAGATGGAGAGAGATCCTGGCCAGTCCAACAGTCCTAATAAAGAGGGGAAAACAGCACTTCTCCCTTCCCCTTCTCTTGGTTCTCTCAGGCACCTTCTCCGTAGTTAACCCCACCAACATTTTTTCCCTAAGCTATAAGTAATATTTGTGGTCCAGCCCCCTCTTTGTGCCTAGTCATCTTGTGTCTCCTAACCCCCTACCCAGATACTATTCTACTTTGTGTCCCAAGCCCTTCTGTATCCTCATCTGCCTGCTTTTAATCCCTTTCCCTATGTTGTCCCCTTTGCAAAATTCAGCCTGCATGAAGGGGTGCGTGCTGTTCAATTCTGCTACTTGGACCCATGCTTAGTTTTGTGCCCCAGATCTGCGGGCCATGGCTATTTTGTGGAATAGAAGTAGTCCTTAAAAATGCCAACCAGGCATATAGAAGATTTATGCTAGGTCTACACTGGTAGTTAGGCTTGACGATAAGGCTGCTCTCTTGCTACAATGACACTCTTAAGCTCAGCCTCAGAAGTAGTCCATTTCAAGCCAGCAACTGTTGAACTACAGGGTGTGAGATCAAGCCTCTTCCTAGTCTATTCTGACCAGCTGTGTGCTTGGAGCTCACCTGGGTGCTGAAGTTGCAAGCACAGAGTCCATCAACATCAGTCCCATAACACTCTGTTCCTAACTTCCAGCCCTTCCACACTCTTATTCCTGGCTACTGACTAAATAGAGCCAACAAAAAAGAGAAATACATATATTTCATGGCCTGATTCCAAGGATGGTTCTGCTCAAGGAATTGGAATCACAACATAGACAAGTTTTGTTTGGACCACAGCGTAAGATACAGCCAGGGACGAGTGGCTTATGTGGCTTAGGCTGCTTGAGCAGGACCCTCCATGTCAACTTTAAATATCAGTGTAAACATACCATTAGGCATTTGTACAGTTAAGCAGTTCCTGAAAAGGACTCTACTAAAGGTCAGTACCATCTACAAAGTGGTCTTAGGTGCCAACTGCATATTTAGGTGCATAAAGAACATGCTGTAGATTAGATGTGTTGCCACAACAAAACCAGGACCAAACTAAAGTATGTTTCTGTGGCTGATCTATTCAGTGAAACTCATAACCTACTATCAAGGTCAGGGTGCTGAATGTCTTTGATTTTCATTAATACAGTATCTCTGAGGATCAGGCCCTAAGCTACTTGCTAGAGAGCTGTAATCTATTCTTTAACTGTTTCTTCCTTTGTATTTAATCTTATTTGTTGTTTTTCTCCCTTTCCCTAAATGCAAACCAGGGAGTCTTACTACTTACATGTCTTTTAACCTACAAGAAATCAGGTTGAATCAGCCTCTTTCCATTTTTAATATATTGTGTATCATTAAAAAAGCCTTTCACAATAATCTTCTTCATCGTCTATTCAGTCATGGTTGATCCAAACAGCCTTCAGTTACTATTGTTAAGAACCACTTTACTCACTGGATCTGCATGAAACAATGAAAAAGCAGCAAACGGCCACATCCCATTAAGAATAATAACCATTCTAAAGTCACAAAGAACCTAATGATTCCTCTTCTTGAAAATGTGACAGCTTTTTTGAAAAGGGAGTAGTAGCTCAGGGGTTTATATATGAAGAGATGGCAAAAGGGTTCATCAGAGTGTCAGTTCATTTTCAAAGAAATGAACATGTTGTTAAATATCTTTGATGTTTGAAGTATAAAACTGATAAGTGTAGGCCTTTAATCCATGCTATAGTTGCTGAAAGCAGGAGACTTCCTGATAGGTCTGTGTTCTAGTCTTTTATTTTCATGTTGCTGTAGTGTCCCCCAGGCTCTTAGCAAGATTGAGGGCTCATATCCTAGGAAATGAATAAACACATACAAATCTATAATCTCTTTTCCAAGAAGCTTACAGTCTAAAATAGTTCTATTGTTGTCAGAATCACAGGCTGGCTGATAGCATCTTCAGTTTTTCAAGAAGTTTAGGTAAATAAGAGATCAAAAAAATGGTGAAACTGTGGACTGTTGTGTCAGTGTGTCTTAAACAGAAGTCCTAAATTATCCAAAGCAAAAAAAAAGGTAATGAAAAGCTACCTTAACCTATATACCTATAACCTGTCAGCCTTAACTTATCTGTTATATACAATTACAAAACAGAAAAAGTATAATAATAGAAAATATGGGCTTTCAATATGTTTGAAATGAACAACCTGATTAGGAGTTTCCAGATGAAATCACATTGTTGCAATATAGTAGTGCTCAAACTTCTGGACCCATGGATGAGCCTGCTGATGAGTGGTGTGAGGCCAGACCACAGGCTAAATTCACTGTGTGGTTGACATGTGGAGTCAACTGTGGGTGCAATCAGGTGTGCGGGATACAACCTTGCAGGACTCTCTATGGATCTGGAAATTCAATCGCAGGGAAGCATTAATTACTGTGATTCTAGAAGCCAAAGCCATTATTATATATCTAGATTGTAAGCTAGTTGGATCAGGGACTGTCTTTTTGTTCTTTGTTTGTACAGCGCCTACAACAGCAGGGTCCTGATGGATGAGGAGGGCCACTGAGCATGATGATAATATAATAGCGTTCCCTTAGGAGTCACTGTCCTCTCCTACCTCTTTCCCCTGTTATTTTTGGCTGATTAATACTAAAAGCTTGCTTAATCCGGTAAGGAAAAAACAAGTTGGATATTTCTGCCAGTGAAATCAGTAGTGAAACAGTGTAGGACTGAAGTTTAAAATATTGCCTTTTGTCTTCAGAGATCAATGGTGTGGCTCAGCCTGTGAATGATAGTTTCCATCTGAGGTCACAGGAAAAGCAATCAAGATTAGCCATAGACCCTTGAGGGCCAAGAACATTTAAATAACAGAAACTGAGGCTCAGAAGCAATCTCGGAAGAGCCCAGACACGTTACCAGCTCTGCAACAACACGTAGTGTTGGTGCCACCTCCCAAGGCAGGCAGAGATCATCTATGAAGACAGTTTGCCACATCAATGGAGGCGCCTGCAAGGCTTCTCAGCACGGCCCCACCATGTCCGCAGCTTTCCAAAGGCTGCAGAAAAAGTAGGATCGACCCGGCCTGCCGTGAGCGTGCTCCTTCCCGGTAAGCGCAAAGCCGCACTTCGGGTGAGGGCAGCGGGACCTCAGGCTTGTTTCGAGGCGGGAGCCGCCCCGCCCGGTCCTCACGAAAAAGTGAAGAGTCTCCGGGCCGGGCAGTTCCTCGGCCCGTGTTT